TGACCCCTAATTAGCACTACATCAAGATGGATGTTGTTGCAGTTTGCTTTTATTTCATCTTTTCTATGGGCAACTTTTCACCTCATTATAATTCTCTATGTAAAATCTGAAAATAAATCTGGGAAGTTGCATTCCACATCTGAGATACTAATGCTTTCTTTTAACACTTAGATAATGGCTCAGAAAATAAATGATAAGTGATGACACTTTGTGCATAGCAAACATGATATTACACCCTTCATCATAGATTTTGGGAGTTATTGATATCAACATTCTCAAAGACCAATGCATACTAAACAAGTTCCTTTAGAAAGAGAGAGAGAGAGAGAGAGAGAGAGAGAGAGGCAGGTGTTGAAGTTTGATGGACATTCAAAGATCAGCACTTAATTAAAATACATATCTATATTCTTTATATCATATAGTTTTGACAAGAGATATTGCTGATTGTTAGAGAATTGAATTGTAGCACTATTTGTAGATAGCAAAAGCACAAGGCAAAGACGAGAATGTTTGATGGATGAAAGAAATGTTTAATGGGTTGAGTAGTGTTGCTTACTTTCTTCCGAAGTTCTTCCATCTTGTCCATCATTAACTGAGTCTGCACTTAAAGAGTAATCAAATAAGCATGCATTTTAACTATCTAAGAATAGTACAAATCCAAAACGAAGATAAAACCCAGAGGGATAAAGAAGCACTTTGTATGGCACCACTAGCTTCTCTCTCTCTCTCTCTCTCTCTCTCTCTCTCTCAAGAAGAAACTATTTATAGAGCTACTTTCTGATGCTTCTTTCATCAAAATAGCCAGAAATCTCAACTATGGCCAACTCAAACACAAAAGAGAAAAAGAAAGAAGATAATTGAAATTGACCAGAATCATTTTGAATCCGAGAAAGAAAAGTCTAGTATATATACATGAGAATAGATTTGATCTTTGCAACTGTTTTAAGTGTTTGTATTCATGCAGAACATCACTAGATTGGAATCAAGAAAGAGATCTGGTGAAGTCTGAGTCTTAACATCACCTTTCTTTGCCTGGCCTGTGACAGTGCAGACTCGAGTTGTCTCTCCAATTGCTGCAGTTCTTTCACACTCAGTGGACCGAGGTCCTCACCCAGCAAGTGCCTTCACATGACATGTAATTACCATCTCGAGCATGGCATGTTAAGGAGACACAGACAATAAATGATTGATTATGAAGGTTCTTTCTAGCTGAAAACAGAGGAAATTGTGCAGATGTCCTAAGACTGCTAACATTATCGAGAAGAAGAATAACCTCTGGGAACGTTGGAGAGACTCAAACTTGACCTTCAACTTGGACATTTCTTGGTACCAACTCTGCAATGCGATACGATTACAAGATAAACTTCACAAGTCAAAGATCATTTCTCAAGAGACTTACAGATACTAGAATGAACTTGCGAATGTGACATAATAAGAGTGAACACAACATGTGAATTGTGATCGACTGATACGCTAAATAGCTCTCTACATACGAGGAGATTTATAGGGTAGTAACTTAGTTGACACATTTGAGGAATATACTAATTTTCCTCACAAATAACTCAAATATGTATGAGATCACAGTCTTGAGGTGTTCAAGTGACTGTAATGCAAGAGAATGACATGTTGAGGGTCATGCAAGATTAGACATCTCGTTACAAGGAGAAAAGGATGTTGACTAAACAAGCAACAGCTCCACATCCATAGCCATAGCTATAATTTTTTCTAGTGTAATCATTATGTTTGGATGGAATTCCAGCTGCAAAAGATTAAGGTTTTATTAGATGTCATAATAAAGATGTTTCCTTTTTCTTCCTTAGCAATGGAAAAAATGTTGTTTGTATATATTAAGGAAAAATTAGTCTTAGCATCCTATACAGTGAATACAATGAGCATAATGAGCGTTTCATGAATACGTATATGATACCGTATTTACGAGAATTTACAAACAACAGACATCTGACAGATTCAAGGAAAAAAAATCAAATAGTTCAATTAGAATCCAGTGGTATTCTTAGAAGATTTCTGTGTGATTCGAGTTTGATAACTGATCCACTTGCTTTTTCCATGTTAGATCAAGATGCTATTAATATGAAAAATGAGAATGCCATGAATAATGGTAGATCGAGGAAGAAGAAAAGAACATATAACTTCTGCCTCATGAACCCGATTTTTCTCATGATCATTCTTTAAATCTTAGTCTGACTATCAGCCCTAATTTTGTTATAATCTAAAATTGATGTAGTGAAATCGAAAACGCGGAAAGAACACAAACCTGTGCCTCCCCATTAGCAACATTAGGATCTTGGGGTGCATAACAACAACGTTGATATCGCTCCAAGGTTTTGCTTGTTCTACAAGATAGAATTAGAGTGATCCATTCATTTCTTCTCAACATACATACAAAGAAAGCAATGCATTTTTATTGATGAAATACAACCCAAATGTACATAGAGTAGTGTACTAATGTAACACACAAGTGTCAAGTATATTTAAGAATGTTTTGAATAGGTAAGCTAGAGGATAACAAAAGAAAATTATTGTAGAATGTTTGAAGCCCAACAAAATTAGCTGCACTATGACTACTCTGGTAATTGCTTCAATCTTCTTCCGATTGATTTTGAGCATATATACATATGTTTGAAAAGTCATGTGATACTAAACAAAGGCAGAGAATTATCTTTAGCAATCATTTCTTCATGTTTGGATTTCTGATTTGCTTTGAACTTCTTGATGATAGTATTACTAGTATAAATAAAGTAAATTTTGTTCCATTTAAGATAATATTCTCAGCTATCAGTTTCATTGTATCCCTTCTTTAATGAAAAATCAAATGTTGCTGTTGAAGCTATCATATTATTCTTTGCTGTTAGAAGAGCAATAGAGTAATGATAGTGATTTCCATCATTGGAATGGATAGTAATATCTTTAGAATCATGAACAGTAATAGTAATACGTATAGTAATCTTCCAGTGCCGTTCATAGGTGAGATCAGTTTGGTTCTATCACATCATTCATTGTTGGAATTGTGAAGTTCGACATCACCAATAGTTAGTATCTTATCTGTCACAGTACCAAAACCGATGATATGGAAAAGTCATTGCAACAACAATATTTATAGCTTAGTGGAATTTCCAGTGAGACCAAAGATCTGGTAAAGAAAATGGATGATATACACCCTCTCTAGTTGGGCAGATCACTGGATCTTACCCTCTCTCTCCTTAAAAATTGGAAGGTTTCTTCTTTTGAGATCTTAGCTTGCATGAATGCAAAATCATGCATCCAAGATGCACAATAATCTGCAATAAAAATGCTTTAATCCCTTCTATTCATCTTTCTTTTTGCGGAGAAAAGAGGTATGTCAGACACTATACATGGTTCGTGACAAGGGAGAGAGAAAACCAGATTTTCCAAGAAAGTGAAGAGATTTGTGAGATCAAAATCCATAACTCTACATGTGAACAAATTAAGATTCGCCACCAAGCATGTCTGGCAAAGACAGATCCGTAGAGAGGAAAAACCAGCAGGCTTAAATGGTCAGAAAGTCGACAGAAAAAGATAGAAAGAGCCAGTTCTTTCTCCTGTGATCTTGTTTTGGAGCCCATCTTTGTCATGATCTACAGGAGTAGCTTTAGGTTTAGGGTTTCCAGAGATCCATGATCTCCACGACGAGTAACCATAAATGATGCCATAAACAACAGGAACGAAGGGCTAAAGAGATTCATCATGGCAAAAGACATGAAGCAGGAAATGAGGGGCACTGCTTTGTTATCTTCCTCCTCCTCCTCCTTAGCATAGAAATGGCAAAGCATCTAATGAGGTAGAAAAGCTTAACGCAGCACAGATCCAGCGTAGATCTCTATATGACTCTATACATACGAACATGTAAATATGCTTGTGGGTTTACCCAGCGCTGCCGAACTCATAGAGCTTGCCGCGGCTGGAGAAGATTATGAGCGCCACCTCGGCGTCGCAGAGGACGGAGAGCTCGTAAGCCTTCTTGAGCAGCCCATTCCTCCGCTTGGAGAAGGTCACCTGCCGGTTGATCTTGTTCTCGATCCTCTTCAGCTCCACCCGTCCCCTCCCCATCTCCTTCCCCTACTACGACCTGCTTCTCTTTCTCTCTCTCTCTCTCTGGTTTCTGTTGCCGTGGGCGTGGCGGAGAGAATCTGATAATGGTGAAGGAATTCTGTGGATGACAGGGAAAGGGCACAAGCACTGTTGCCTATCGCTTTCTCTCTTTTACTTTTCCTTCTGATCTAAGTACATGACATGAGCTCTTGTCTTCTCAGATAAACTTACAGTGCTAGGCATCGTTACCATTGTTATTACTACCTTAAGCTCTTTCTCTGTGTTTTACTTTGGATCTGGAGATATTTAGAGTGAGAAAGAGATCAGAAAGTCTTGGTTATTCTACTGATCTTGTCCTCCGGAAGACGAGGGAATAAAGGAGCCGGGGAAGCTGCTGCGTGTCGTGTGATACAACCGCCACACTAGCTTGTCAAAATAGCCGCTCATACATTGTGTAGGTTGTGGCGCCAACCTTAACGCCGTCGTCACTCTTGTCCTCGCATGAGCTAAGATTACCCCCACCTTACGATCTAACGACATCATCTTTGTCCGAATCATGATGTTGTAAGATTCACACAGATCTATCAGCTATCTGCCTCCGAAATGTGAAGCATTTACCGTTCCACTGTCCACCGTCGAGCGAGCTGCTGCTACGAGTAGTCTCCTGGCACCGCGCCACCTACGAGCTTGGGGTTGCAGCATCCTATCCTGCTTTGTTCATTCCTCATGACAAACCTTGCCTTTCCTTTGCTTCCCTTTTAGCATGTCCTCTCCACTATGGAATTTCCCATATCCAAGAAAGATGGATTCATAGGGGGTAAGGTTGGGGGAATGTGTGGGTCTTCAATTCCCAACTACCAAAGGTGCAAGGTAGAGGAGATAAACATCTCAGAGCTTAGAGTGGCTTACTGGGTGTGAGGGCGACCTCTCTCTCTCTCTCTCTCTCTCATGTATGTATGGTAAGGTCACTTTCTATCTTTTCTCTCCCCCACTTTGCTACCTGGGCCTCTCTAAAATATCTCCATAGGCAAGCAAACATCTGAAGATGTTTAACATGGTGTGCAGTAGAAGAAAGAGCTCGAGAGCATTGTAGCTGCCCGATGTGCATCACTACAAACTGGTTGCTAACATAGCCCTTTGCTTGGCTCAGCCATGAGCCTGTCACCAGAGATCGCTCTTTGGCACAGGAGAGAGCCATTGGATGATGATAAGCCGAGAGATGACAAGTCTGATCGTCACGCTTTGTTTAGCTCTGACTCTCTTCAGTTCATCAGTTGGCAGCTTCGGCCAATTTTATTGGACTATCTCCAATCCTCTGACAAAATATATGTGAAATAATGGATCATCATAGAATTTATTTTGTATCTTCGACTGTGTATCGAAACATAAATTCTCAATGAATATTTATATGACAGTCGATTGAATAATGCAGGAATATATTATATGTTTATATATAAGTATGGTAAGTAGGATTTGCAGGGTTGGTGACATCGAAAAGCATTTATAGGTTCTTAAGGAATAGAGAGATTGATCATGAAAAGAATTGAGAAAGCTGGAAGATTATATGGGATCTGAAAGTTCTTCCTATAATCAAAATATTCCTTATGTAGACCAATATTGTGTTTGTCAAGAAAGACTAACTCTAACATCAATATGTCTTTCATCTGTCTATTAAGGTTAAAATTTTATATATTGAGCAAGTAAATAAATATTATATTATCTATTAAGGTTAATTAATAGATACTTAAGTTTGTCAAAATTATTGAGCACTGGTCCTCGTGGTTTCTGCATTCTCATTGGTTCTACGTTGAAATTATTGTGGGACCCGGGTATGTTGACGACTGGGAAAGCGCTTAAATGTGTTCTGTGAATCGATCGAGATAGTTGATCTGGAATCAAGAAGCACCCGCTCGCTATGGTACGCCTCCCGAGCACAAGCATGCAACCTGCGCCGCGTCGAAGAAAGAAAAGCCCCAATTTGTCGTCTTCCTCAGGTTCAAACCCGAGAGGGAAGGAGAGAGATCGAGCCATGTACCGCCAAGCCCTGCGCGTCCTGACCCGAGCTCTCGGCGGCCGCCGCTCCGCCGTGGGAAGGCCCTTGTCCACCGGCCTCCCGGCGGCGCCGTCGGAGACGCGGCGTTCCTGGATGCCTGGCGGAATGTGGCGGCCCCCAACATCGACCCGCCCAAGACCCCGCTGGCTTTCATGAAGCCCCGCCCTCCCACGCCTTCCTCCGTCCCCTCCAAGCTCACCGTCAACTTCGTCCTCCCCTGCCAATTCGAGATCTCCAACAAGGAGGTTTGCTTGCTGCTCCGCTCTCCCGCTGATCCATCTAAATCTTGTCTAGGGTTTTGTTCCGACGTTTGGATGATGCTGCGCCTGGCCTTGGGTCATCTGATCTGTCTATTTTTCGGACATTGATTCTTCTCCAAAAAGAGGATTTTTAGTTGAATCGATGAAATTTCTGGAAGTGCTTATGCATTATAATTGCGGAATGCCATCATATGCTCTCCTTTTGGTTGCTGGGTACTGACATACAAAAGATAGTTTGAGAACAGATGAGTAGAAAGGTCTATTATTTATATAATTGATAGAAATATTTTTTATTAGTATTATGGCATACTTGATACAAAACAAACAACAATTTTGTTTTAAATTCAATTAAATTGCTGGTTCTTTCTACAACATATTTAGTTTTACATAGGTTTTTATACTGCTTTGATTCATTTTCTTGGTGAGCCTTTTGTCGTGCATGATTTCTTCGATTACCAAGCTGAGCAATCTGTTAGTAATCATTTGAAACATAGTCTGAGGAAGGATATCAAAGAAGAGATATTCTCCAAGTATTAATTAAAATGCCTATGTAGGAAATGGATCTGGCAATGCCATCTCACTTTTAGGCTAATACCGACCTTAAAAGGCTTCTTTAACCTATCCAATTCATGAAGTTCAGAATGTTCATAATCTGACACAGCCACATTACTTGGCACATCAGCATGAGAAGAACATCACCAATGTTTTTCCAAATTTGTACAAGTCGTGGTGACATTACCAAAAATTCAAGGCCAATATAATGCTTGAATGTCCAAGCAGCCTTGTAGTTTATCTATTTGATCTCATGTATATCTGTCAGGTTTAAGAAATCTGTATCATATCCATTTGTATCATATCTGTCAGTTCACCAGTGTCTTAATGAAATATATTTTTCTAGGCTTACCAATTGACCACTAGCTTTATTCCCATATCCTTCCCTTTTTTTTTTTTTGCATTTACTTTCAGGTTGATATGGTCATTGTACCAGCAACTACAGGGCAACCGGGTGTTTTCCCTGGACATGTTGCCACCATTGCAGAGGCTCGAGCCTGGGGTTCTTCCTGTACACGAAGGGAATGAAGTTACCAAGTCTTTGTTAGCAATGGTTTTGCATTCACACATGCTAACTCAGTTACGGATATAGTTGCTGTTGAGGCTGTTCCTGTTGACCATATTGATCCAAACCTGGTCCAGAAGGGACTTGCTTATTACACCCAGAAGCTAAACTCAGCCACAACGGACTTGGAAAAGGCTGAAGGGCAGATTGGCATTGATGTTCATGGTGCACTGGATGCGGCACTATCTGGCTGAGTGATGGTATTTATCCTTGTGATTTTACCCTCTTGAGTTCATATATAGAACAAGAAAATTGACCAACTTGCTATGTGAAAGAAAAGAGGAAAAAGTATAATAAATCTTTGGTTCAGTTGAACATGCATTTCAATACTGTTACCATACAACTCTGGATGTTTAAATTTTTTGCTTTTTAATTTGGTAAACTCTCATAATTTTCTGCAGCTTTTGTTATAACCATGTAGTGTATTTGTTGGATTGGTTTTAATTTGGTAAACTCTCATAATTTTCTGCAGCTTGTGTTATAACCTTGCAGTGTATTTGTTTGATTGGCCTACTAACATTCTTTCCTACCTGTCTCAATGGCATGAATGTGAAATGTTTTACATGACTTTGATGGTTTATGAATTGTTATTGTGTGGAATACCTGTTGCCATGCTGATGTATGAGTTTTCTTCAGTCAATATTTTAGTGAGACACGTCTGAGCTCCGATTTCTGCTTCATTGGCATATATCAATCATGCTACATTTAAAATAGATTAGACTTGGGAATTTATGTTGTAAACCAACCATACTTGGTCTTTGTGGCAGCTTGAAGCAAAGACTACATGGTTTCAGCTTCAAAATGCAAGTGGTGTTGTAAATCATAAGGCTTTAACAAGGTTTTTGCATTGTTTTCTGAATCCAATTCTTAAGTCAGAATGCGAAAATGATTCTTGTCTTCACTGGAACATAGGAAAAGAGGTGACTTTGTATTTTCTTATATAAATCCAACATAGAGTCAGTCACCTCAAAAGAGTCAAGCACAAGTACCTGATTGGATTGAGACAATTCATGTTCCCAGCAGCATTTCTTGGGTACTGGAATCTCTTCTGCTCCCTGACATGTGTTGTTTCAATCCTGTAGACATATGAGATCAGAGAGATGAGTTTAAGGTGGATGCCTCAGTCCTTCTCTTACATTAAACTGTGCAGAATATCTATCTACCTCATTGAGAATAATATGATAAATTTTTGCATGCAGTGAATCAGTCATTGGAAACCAAAATATTCTGATTTTATTCAGATTCAAATGGTCCAACCCTTCTTATTTTATCTTGTAATCAGTTCCTTTACATTATATCCTCCTCTGTTTCATGTGTTTCAATTTTTGTGCCAGTCTTACTTGAATTAAGCCAATAATTCTTGAAAAAGATAGAATTAAGTCAGATATCCTGCATCTTATAGGCTGCTGAGAAAAAAAGAATATTTCTGAAACAAGGCATACTTCAGTTGATAAAGTTGGCAACTGAAGCACTTCTAAATCACTGCAATTCAACTGCAATATTACCCTATTCAATCATTTATTGACTATGGAATTTTGAATCAGGTGATAGCTTTAGCTGAATATCTCATTCTGCCACCATCTCATGATCATCAAAATTATGTGACAATGTTACAGAACACAGCTTGCTGGTTGCTTCATTTCCCCTTCACTTTTCACCTACTTTTTCCTTTGCTCAGGTACTTCAGCAGAGAGGTCATCACATTCCAATACTGACACATTCAGTGGCCAGCATCCATCTCCTATTCCTCTCACCATGCTCTTCAGGGGCTCAAGTACACAGGAACCATGTGACAGCTTCAATTCCCAAAATATTTCCAATTTCTTGATTGACAGAGAAGCTGATAAGCCCCACCCCACCTTCTGTATCTTCAATCACGGTCTGAGGAAGAAGAAGATGCCCATCAGATCTCATCAAAATGGGAAGCATGTTCTCCTAAGAAAAAAAAAAAGAGTTTGGTTATTTAACTATTATAGACTTGAAATTAATGTTCACGAGTTAGATCCTTAATCTTATTCCCTATGGATATTTTATTTTATTTTATTTTACTGTAGATAATTAATGTAAATTCTATCATCTGTATCCAATACATAGGACTCGTCAATACGAGTATAGAAATGGTCAATACACATAGTTTTATCTTTAAATATTTACGAAGATTGTTTTATGCACATAAATTTTTGTCATCTCAAAGTTGATTCATAATACTTGGGACATATCATATCATGACCAAACAAACACATTCCATATATTACTAATTTTCTCTATACATGCGAGGACAGATTGGACAGAAATTAGACTATGAAATGTGTCCATTCTTACTCCTTTCTCTCCTCTCCTTTTGAATACCTAACAACTCAATGAGCATCTCTCAAGTATTGCCAACTCCTTTGCTTATCCTATGTGAGAACCATTGAGTGCACCAGAGTATTATATCCTCTTTGGCTGCACTGGTAGCTACTCCATGATGAGATGAATTAGATGCTGATGGATGTGGCCATGACAACCACCTCCTCTGAAGTCATTTTGTCCTTCCAGTGTCCCCATGTTGAAAGATAGATTCAAATCTGATCCTATGTGCCACCTCATACTGATTCTCAATTCATTTGCTTCCATCTCACGTAATATATTCTTGCATTGCAACCTTTTTAGGTCAGTCAGAATTCTCTAAAAAGCAATCAATTTCTATGAGTGATCTAACAAAAAAAGTTCTCTCTCTCTCTCTCATTGCTTTTCTGATTTCTTTCCTCCTCGGGACTCAAAAGATAAGAGATAGATCAGCAAAACATGTATCAATATACCTAAACTAATCGAGAGAGAGAGAGAGAGAGAGAAGTTAATATGAGATAGTGGGTGTTTAACCTCCAGTTCTTGATGTTGTAAGGCTGAGAGAAGGAAACGAATAGGCCAAGAAACAAAGAACCAGACATGGAAATCTAAGCAGCATCAACACCACCCACATGCATACAAACCCAACAAAAAAGCAATAATGCCTAGAAATTCTCAACGCAAAATGAGACCCTGCAGCCGAGCAAAGTGGATCCACTCAAACCCATACACAGAGAGATCAATGGTTATCTGCAGCTGCGGCACCACTCACCCGCTCATCTTTCCCCGCTGGTGCCTCCATTTGTGTGCACTTGTGCCTCCAGGCGGGTGAGGTGAAGAGCGAGAGCAGAGCGGCTGCAGCAGCCGAGAAGCCTTCGCACCGCGAGCCTTTGCATTTACTTCCACCGTTTCGTCCGCCTTTACTGCCTTTCTCTCTCTCTCTCTCTCTCTGTGTTCCGTGATGGCAACTCAAGCCCAACGCCGCTGCAGATTTCTGCTCCCGAGTAGGTAATTCCTCATTCGATCAAGTTCCACTCTTGGTCATGTTGGTCTCGGATTGGTTTCTTCGTGAAGGTCGAATCTTGATGAGTTTCTTGGGTGAATTTTGATCCTTGATCGACGCAGAAGCCAGGGGAAAGGGAAAGAGATGGACTTCCCCCAAGCTGCGGCTGGTGTCCTCGACTCGGCTCCCGCGTTGTTCGCCAATGGAGGTGAGAGAGAGTTGCCTCCTTTTTGGGGTTTCTTGAGCGGTATGTGTTGGATTCTTTTTCCCGTTCGTCGCCTGAGGTGAGATGGGTTTCGTGTAACAGCGGCGCCGTATCCGAGGAAGAGAGGAAGAGATGCCATCGGCGTCCCGGTGGCACAGCAGCAGAGCCACCCTGCTAACCTCTTCTCACTGCATGGCGCGCTTCCGCCTCCGACGCTCGTGAGCCTCGCCCAGCTCCAAAGCCGCCCGCCTCCCATCGTCTCCACCGGCCTCCACCTCTCCTTCGAAGAACAACACCAACAGCAGAACCAGAAGCAGTCCGACCCCCTTACCTCTTCTTCTTCCTGCTCTATCCTCCCTTCTTCCCTTCTCCCCGAAGAAATCGCCCCCTATATCAACCAAGAGAAGGACGAAATCGGAAAGGTCCTTTACGCGCAGGTAGCGTCCCGTCTTTCCCTCCCTGTCGATCGCTCCGTCTCCTTTGCTTCTTCCGACGAACAAAATATTAGCTGAATAAAAATTGGATCTTTCTTTCTCCATGGCAGGGAGAACAACTGCGGCAAGCCTTCGCGGAGAAGTGGCGGAGGCACTACCGTTCTTTATTAGGAGTGGCAAAGGAGTGGGCGGCGGCGCGGCTACGGGAGAAGGAGGCGGACGTGGAGCTGGGGATGCGGCGGAGCGCCGAGCTGGAGGACCGCCTCACCCGCCTGCGAACCGAGTCGATGGCGTGGCAAGCCAAGGCCATAGCGAACCAGGCGACGGCAGCTGCCCTCCACGCCCGGCTCCAACAGGCCGCCGCAGCACCGACTCCGGCGAAGGGAGGCGAGTCTGCCGAGGATGCGGAGTCGGCCTTCGTCGACGCTGACCGAGTCGAGCCGGAGCGCGCGGCGTGCCGCGTGTGCCGGGGGCGGCCGGCCTCGGTGGTGCTCCTCCCCTGTCGCCACCTCTGCCTCTGCGACGCCTGCGACGACGATGGCGGAGGCAGCGGAGGAGGAGGTGCGGCCGAGTCGTGCCCGGTTTGCCGCTGTGTCATAACCGCAAGCGTCCGAGTCTTCCTCGCTTGAAACATCCCCCGATCTCAGCCGTCCAACATTTCCGTCGGAGACGAACTTAATGCAAATAAATAAGAGAACTCAAAAATAACAAAGAAAAAAAAAAAAGCCGATGCCATCCATCATCGCCGTTCGTTTCGCTTCTTCCTCTTATTGCGGGTGCCCCTCTGCCGTCTGATTATGATCACATGGCCACGGAGTCTTCTGAGAAAGCCCAAGCATTCACCATACGACCCGCCATATAATTATGTGCTTAGCCATCTCTTCATCATGTGTTTCATGATCACATAAAATGTTCATTTCATGTGGTGTCCAAAGTGGGCTGTGATGTATGTTTCATGATTCTTATAGCCCAAAAAATAAAATAAAAATTCTACATCTCTTGATATATATATATATATATATATATATATATATATAAGTGCTTTATTTATAGGAAAAAGAGTAACTTGGCTTAATCGCCAAACTTCGAAGCCCAAAGGTATAGGACTTTGGATTCGAAGGAATCCAAAGAACACAATGCAGGCCGTCCCATGATGGCACAACATCGGATTGGGTTCCACCATGTTCGAACACGCGTCCCTTCGCACGCCTTACGAGGGAATCATTGAGACCACCGAGACGTCGAGTCGCTCGATCATCACATCAAATCAAGAGAGGGATCATTTGAAAACACTCGAAAGAAAACAAGAAGTTGAGTTCCACGAGGAGACACCTCACAAATGCTTTGAGAGGCGCCGCTTTGTGTCCGCAACATCACACAGTTCGGCTGAGTTCAAAGGATTTTGGCATGAAGTTGATGAACCAATGAAGAAGAAGCTTAATTTTAAATGCAGATAATTTTAAATCCGAGTCTCAAAATACTAGTAATTTTCAAGCTCTTAGGACTTAGGAAGACATCTTCCATATGAACAATCCATAAGCCCCACCCTCCCGATAATTTCTACTCAGTTGTCTGCGCTTTGAGCTTTTTCTTGTCGGTCTAACGTTCCATGTAACTAAAATTCTTGTTCCTAGTTGTTCTTCAAGAAAAACTAGGAAGTTCCATCAAATCAAAACCCAACAATCCAAGAAAAGCAATTAATGACAAAAAACTAGCGTTAAGTGATGGAAACCACCCTAAACTAGAAGCAATTCGTGGACAAGGTTTAATGCAAATTGCTGTAGCCTCTCGAGGGTTCAAGAAAGTAAAATGATTTCAGGACAAATCTATCTGTGACAAAAACACAATGATATTATGCCACATAGATGAACAATGAATTAACCAACTTGATTAATCAAGACAGAATTGTAACATCAGCCACTAAATGGAACTGAAATTTTCTACAGCTTAATTAGCCAACACAAAATTTAAGAATTCGGCATGGACATGACGACAAAAATGATAGCCGATAGAAGAAAGATTGAAAAAACGTAACACTTATTGGAACCTACAAAAAACATTAGCTTCCCTCCACCTTATTTAAATAAACCCTAGAATTAAATTTCGGCCACAGGAAATACCGATCCAATCTTATTTTTTCCCAGCCTATAGCACTTTATGTTGACAGAATATGGACCTAGACAAACATGATTATCTTCTTCACCCACAAAGAAACATAGAGTATACAGTGCAATTTCAAATTCTGGGCTCACTCCAATTAAAGTACTTGAGACAGATTTCAGAACACCATTCCATTCAAACTGAATAGTTAGCAGCTGAGTTTCAGAGTCTGGCTGCAAGTTCAATAACACTTAATTACTATAAAAACAACACACAGAAGCAATGCAAACAGTAAACAAACTGCGACACAATAAAGATTACGGTGAATCACAATTATGTTTCATAGTAAGAAATAGATGAAAAATCGACAACATTCACGAAAGGTTTCTAGTGTACTTACGCTCTCTCCTCGCTTCTTTGGGAATATATAGCCTTGGTAGTCTACTCTCTCTTTCCATTCTTCTAGATAGAACTGCAAAAGAGAAGTCACAGATGATAAATATATCCTAGATAACAGGAATCAACAGATACGACATCATCAGGTCATCATGATAAATAAGCACTTGCTTTAAGGTAGCATGGAACTTTGTAATTCAACCCAAAATAGGCACTTTGTACAGTAACATGGTCAGTTCATGTTGAACAAGCTGTACAGCAAAACAAAGCATGGTCAAATCATGCCAGAACAGTCACAGAAGCAAGTTTGCCATAAATATCCTGTTAAACCAATAAATTGCTTTCATGACAAACTCTGTGTCTAATAACTAGATAAACTAAAAGTAGACAATGCCCTTGGATGATCTTATCTTTTTAGGCTAGACTGGGATCCTTTATTTTTATGATTAGTCTGAAAAGCTATTGTGTTATTTCTGCAGCAAGCTCAGTCAAATGGTGATTGATTAACATAAAATGAATAACTCAGCAACTTGCCTGAATCCAGTTATGGAAACCAGAGACCTCGTATTTTTCACGCCCTTTAATTTCTCCAACAAATACATGTTCAAAAGCTGAAGAGCAACTGGAATGACCACCTCGACCATATAGATTAAACCATAGATCTGACATCATTCTCTTGAAGTCTTCATAATCATTGGATATTATGTCCTTGGCAACTAAATAGTGGTAAAGATACTTAATTGGTGCCGTCCTGCTTATTTCCTCGATAAATGCAGCTTGTTCATGTTTCTCCTCAGAAGTTATGACTTCTTTACACCCCACATTTGGGTTGTAATTGTCCAGAAGAGAGCAAAAACGAGAGTATGTAGGCCGCATAAATATGTCTTCGCTTATCCAGGAAAACAAGCTTTTTGATGCCATATCTCCTTTTTGATAAACCTTCTTCCCTTGACCACAGTCAATATCATAGTCCTTGCCAGGCACCAAACGATTAAGATCAAGTTCCCATAACCTGATGCAGGCTTTTGACAAATTGTCAAGCTCCTCTCTGATCGGTTCTAAACCCATGCCATTATTAGCTTCATTGATGTATTCCTGCTCATTAGGGGGCCGCTTATACACACCCCAGAATTTCATTACTGCCTGCAGTTAAAATGACAATGGCATATGATTTATCAAAATTATTTGAACATCAGCAATTTGCTTCAATCAGAATAAGCATCCAAAAGCAGAAAAAAAAAAAAAAACCAAAGATAACCTGATTAGCATGTTTTGGTTAATCAAGTAGAACAACTTGTTGTTTCACAGTCAAATCATGATAGTTTGTTTGGACAATTGGTGGTCACAATACAGAAGCATTATTTACCCTTTTGTCTATCTTTTTATGTTATGTCAATTCCTGTGCCTTTAAAGAACCTTTAAATAAAGAGTGATTTATAGTTGATAGAGAAATAAAATGCAGGTAGCCACAAATGTAATTCAGTTTCACTCAAATTAAAAGATCATAGATCAAAATATTACCCGCAACTTAGTCTGAGCAAGGCCGAGCCAAACCATAATAGGATAATAAACAGGGAAATAAAGATACTTGGTGTATAATACAGACATTTTACCAGCAACCAAGGAATTAAAAAGCAAATATTCAATTGTCAAAAAATGTTCCCATTTTTCCTTGAAAAGACCAAACCTTGTGTGGCCTTCTGGGTGTAGTCTGCTGATGCTTCTTGTTCTTGACGCCAACGACCATCCATTCTCCATCATCCTGCATTTCACTCTCCTCCTACACAAGTAGCCACAACACACAAATCAATCATTGTAAATCCCACTGATCACTCTTACTTACCAGTTGTCTTGTGTCATTGTGTAGTAATCATGTTTTCAAGAAGTTGAAACGGAATCCAACAATAAGGAAGCCCAATTAAATTACTTAGATGATTTCTTTTTGGTAGGTTCTTGAAAAATATTTTGTTACAATGTTAAGGGTATTTGATCGGAAGATTCAACAGGATTACAACTTTTGCCATCCATGTTATCTTCCTCTTCCCGGAAGATTAGGAGGTCCAATCCACAGTTTGCAATAAAGTCTCGTATTCCGTTTTCTATCTTGAGATTCAACAAAAACGCCAACTTTGCACAGCAATCATACAGACAAAACACAGGGATTGAGAAAACAACTCACCTTTCTAGCGACCATTTGGTTTCGACCGTTACCACAATCGCTCTCTGGGACCCGCTCATGTTCCTCCTCATGCCCCGAGGAAACCACCTGCCGCACACACATCCAGCAATCACCATTACGAATCACGAAACAGAAACAACAACGAAAGAGGAGAAAAAGAAGACGTGTAAAACGAGATGCGACCTCCGCCCAGGTGGATCTGGATCGCTCCTCGGCAGGAGAGGACTGTATTCTAGCGGCAGCGGCGGCGTCTTCGTCTTCCTCACCGGCGACGGCGTCTAGGGTTGCGTTCATCAAACCCTTGACGAGTCCTTCCATCTGCAGGCCTCCCTCCGATTCTCGCTTCCCCTCTGCTCCTTTCTTCTCCGTTATGATCGGTGGACGGAAACGGTAGGGAGTTATACCGGCGAATAGAAAATTGGTTTATTTCGACTTAAAAGAAATAAGAAATTATACTTTTCATTAAATATATATTAAATTGCGTGGGTATGCAAACTGGCGGTTTATATTAAAATATTTAAGTTGGAGCGGTAATTAACTAACAATTTATTTCATTATTATTGTTTCTATCCGATACATAGTAATTAGAGCCGTATATATATATATATATATATATATATATATATATATATAGTGATGGATGTAGCTTACCAGCAACAGGAAGCAGGTGGGATGCAGTGAGAGATTTGCTCAACTTCTTCCGGATACTATGAATTGCCAAAATATTTCCTGTGGAGACTAAGCATTGATTAATTTCAATCCCAGATCATACCCTTTTTGTAAATATATTAATTATTACTGTTACGTTACGAATCTAACTGCTAAACTTATTTATAATGAAATGCATATTTGTATTGGCATGTGACATACCTGATCACGTAGTTTGTATGTGTTTTTTATATTGTAGTAAATGAAGTCAAATCCAAATTGATACTAATTAACCTCGATGAGTTATTTAACCTCATCGGTGACCTGTGGATAATATTTAACCTGATCATGCATTGACGAGAATTAAAATTAAATCCCATATTAATCGGAACCCTTAATGTAAAATGCCAATTAAAATGGAAAAAATCTAAAGCTAGCATTCACAGCGCAAGACCCAAACATTATGGTGGAGGATGTGAAGAAAACTAATGCTATGATCTGGTTGCCAAACAAGCCTGGCCTCTACAGTGTCTCCATCTTCCAACAAGAACATGTCCCTTTTTATACAACATTAGATATCAAATCTAAGAGGAAAACG